CCCGGCTCATACCTGCTGTCCACAAGGCTCCCATGCGGCCGCCATCTTTCTTTCCAGAGAGGAGAAGGCGACTGGGGCAACACCCTTTCCCCTCCGGACAGACCTGATGGCCTGGATCAACGCATAGTTCGTTCACTTTTCTGCTCCAAGCTGTCGGGTTCTGCATTAAGTCCTTGTGTTTCTGGGGCCGTGGCCGTGCTGGAGAGCCGCTCGCGGGGGGCAACTGGTGACCTCAGTAGGACGTGAAGGACGGACCGGAACGACCCCCTTCCCATGAGGTTTTAGTTGCCCCCACAGCCCCGGCTCATACCTGCTGTCCACAAGGCTCCCATGTGGCCGCCATCTTTCTTTCCAGAGAGGAGAGGGCGAATGGGGCAATACCCTTTCCCCTCCGGACAGTCATGATGGCCTGGATTAACGCATAGCCCGTTCACTTTTCTGCTCCAAGCTGCTGGGTTATGCATTAAGTCCTTGTGTTTCTGGGGCTGTGGCCGTGCTCCAAACTTAACTATGATTTTCAGAGAGAAACGTTGGGTGGTTTACTTTGTATATATGGATCACTTTGGTTTTGAGGAAAAGTCCTAGTTCCCGCATACTCGAGCTGTGGTTGTAGAGGCTTCTGGTCACCGGGGTTCCATCTGGGGGAGGCGGGATGCGGTACCTACCCCATCTGGGGCTTCCCGATGATCTCGGCTCTTTTTGGAACCTGTTTTTTTTTTTTCCTTCGGGATCTGTGGATCCCGCCCTCCATGTTGTCCTTCTCTTCGGCTGAATGCTGTAAATATGGCGCTGGGGGGCGGGCTGTGGGTGTGACTTCTGGAATCAGAGGTTACCTGGGAGGTGTAGTCCCGGGAGATTTGAGGAAAAGTCCTAGTTCCCGCATACTCGAGCTGTGGTTGTAGAGGCTTCTGGTCACCGGGGTTCCATCTGGGGGAGGCGGGATGCGGTACCTACCCCATCTGGGGCTTCCCGATGTTCTTGGCTCTTTTTGGAACCTGTTTTTTTTTTCCTTCGGGATCTGTGGATCCTGCCCTCCATGTTGTCCTTCTCTTTGGCTGAATCTGCACACTCATTTTTAATACTTGTTGAGGATACTAATAATTTCACATCGAATTCGTTTTCATCCTTGTTGAATAATTATTGACCACCATCATAGGACTTTTTGGTCTCTCAAGTCAATTACATTGATCTTTATGCCATTATTATAGTTTTGAACACTATAACTTTTAAAAACAAACAAACAAAAAATTTAGGCTACAACTCACACTGCTCAGGGATTACTCCTGGCTCTGTGCCCAGGGTGTTGCTCCTGACAGTCTCAGGATCATATGTATATATGATGCCCTGGATCAAACCAGGGTCAGTCATATACTGGCAAGTGCCTTTATCTCTGCACTATCTCTCCAATCCCTTGAAAACTAGCTTTTTATTCAGTGTGGAAACTGGGAAATTTCTGTCCTTTTTTTCAGCTCTTCTCTGTTTTCCACGTTGGATCATTTAAATTGACATTATCTTCAAATTCTGAGTCTTTCTTCTGTTTCTCTAGCCTGCAAACTTTATCCAGGGAACTTTTTGTTATTTTATTTTCACGTATAAAATATTCCTTTGGACCTTTATATTTTTATTTCTTTGTAGAAAATTTCTATCTTTCTATTAGCTTTACATTTTTCTTTTTTTAAAAAATTAAAATAATATTTTCATGACTCTTTATAGTTTCAACTTTTTTTTTTACTGTTCTTGGAACATTAAAAAAACCTACTTTAAAATACTTGCTTATTGCAACATCTGGTTGTTTAACTTTTATTTTTATTGTCTTCTAAAGAATAATTTGACTTTTTTCTCTATGAATGTTATTAAGATTCCAGGTCTTATTTAAATTCTTTGGAGAATACTGGAGGATTTTGTCAGTTTTGTTTAGCAGATGCTTAATCATATTAATTCAGAACACACTTTTTTTTTTGATGGAGGGGCGGCTATACCCAGCATTGTTCAGGGCTTATTCCTGGTTCTGTGCTCAGGGATCACTCCTGGTGGGAGCTCTGGGGAATATATCAGTTGCCAGGGATTGAACTTGGATTGGCCATGTGTACGGCAAGTGCCCTACCTGCTGTTTTATCAGCCCTAGAACACACTTCCTTATCTGACTTAGTGTTTTGCTTATTTTTTAAATTGAAAAGCCATTTTTCCACTGTTAAGAGTCCATAAATCTGCCAAGAAGAATCAGGAATAATGATCTTCTTACCAGTTCATCCCCAAATCCACTGGAAGCAGGAGGCCAAGGGACAATCCCACCATAGTTCCTGTGCTCAGAGAGGTCTGCTGGGAGAACAGAGCATGCATAGGATGGGAGGTAGGGGTGGGGTTCGGGAAGGAAGAGCTAGAGAAGAGCAAAAGCACAGGAAAGACGGATAAACGGTTAGTTTGATGTCAGTTCAATTCTCACAGCTTTTGCAGAGTGCCACCCAGAGGCCAGTCTGATACTTGGGTCATAGATAATATGTGTAATTCTGTGCTCATGACCTATTCTGTATTCTGTCCTATGTGAGATTCATTGTATCCTATGTGAGACTCGTTGTGGTTGTGTCCGTGTATGCATGTGTGTGTGTGTGTGTGTGTGTGTGTGTGTGTGTGTGTGTGAAGATTCATATGTTTTCAGTTTTGGAAATGAGCATCAGAGTTTATAAGCAGCTTTACAGAATTAAAAAATTTTCTTTTCGTGGTTCTTCAAGCCCATGTTCTTCCTTGAATTCATATCTCACTTGCTGTCTCTGTGTTTCTTTGCTTGCTTATTTCCACCCCGAGATAACGTGTGTTATCTCGGGAACATATACTTTTTTCCCTACTCCCCCTTCACATCTTTCTAAATAAGTTTCAATACAAACTTTCTTGCTTCACCAAAATACAACAACAAAATTTTTTTCCTTCAAAAAAATAGAAAAGAGAAACAAGGCATAAAAAAGCAAAACCCAGTAGAAGCAATAGATTTTGAAGAACATCTAAAAATATTCATATTTTTGACTTATTAGGCACTGAATTTAATATAAGCATTAATATAAATTTAATGTATTTAGCAAAATTAAGGTAAAGGTAAAAGGTAAAGGCCCTCCCATTGATCGTCGATTTGCTCGAGCGGGCCCAGTAACGTCTCCATTGGATACTTTGTTGTTACTGTGTCTGGCATATCGAATACTCTCGGTAGCTTGCCGGGCTCTCCGAGAGGGGCGGAGGAATCGAACTCGGGTCGGCCATGTTGGCCGCTTGTAAGGCGAACGCCCTACCCGCTGTGGAGCGACAGCACAGCAGGTAGGGCGTTTGCCTTGCACATGGCCGAGCCGGCCGACCTGAGTTCGATTCCTCCGCCCCTCTCGGAGAGCCCGGCAAGCTACCAAGAGTATCTCGCCCGCGCGGCAGAACCCGGCAAGCTCCCCGCGAGGTATTCGATATGCCAAACACAGCAAAATTAAGGATGGATTAAAAATATGAAGAAAGAATAAGGGGCAATAAAAGTTAATCTTGCTAACATTATAAAAGGAACAGAAGAGAAATCATAGAGATGAAATTAAAATACTTAAAATTTGAAATTCAGTTAGACATTACTCAAAGGTAAAAGTAGAAAAGTTTTCTAGCCTGTAAGCCCAGAGATAGAACTGTGTAGAGAACATGAAAGAGAAGTTTAGAGACATGGAAAACACAATATGAAAACTGAATAAGTACAACCATGGATTCAAAGGAGGTGATAGAATTGGGCAAAGGCAATAGTGGAGAAGGACTTTCCGGAATTAGTGAAAAAAATCAGACATTAATATATTAACACATGAAATACATTGTGTCCTAATGTAAATGAATAAAAATACATACACCACTGGTTGTGCTATAGTTAAACTGCAGGAAACCAAAAATTCAGAAAAGATCTTAAAAGCAGATTGGAGAAAGATCATCTATCAATAACTATTAGACTAACATTTTTCCCCCAATCAAGATTAGAGGAAGACAGGAGATAGGAAATATTTGACAGTGATTATAATTAAAAATGAGCATATTCTATGACATTATCTCTAAAAAAGAGATATGGTATCAAAAGAAATAACTGAAATATATATGTATATGTAAGAATGGAATGTATTCTGCATGAGACATTGAAAGTCAATAGGAAAGAGCTAATTTTCGAATAAATAACATGGGAATAATTAAAAAACTATTTTTTGTCTTTTTTGGGGAGGGGTTGGGGCCACACCTGGCAGTGCTCAGGGGTTGCTCCTGGCTCTGCACTCAGAAATTATTCCTGGTGGGATTGGGGAACCATTTAGGATGCTGGGGATGGAATCCAGGTCAGCCACATGCAAGACAAGCTATTATCTCTCTGAACCCTAGACACCTATTTTTTTAATTTATTTTATTTTTTTAGGCGCCTATTTTTGAAAGTAAAATTTATATGAGACCTTTACTTCATCCCATGCAGAAAATTCATCTAAATGGTTTAATAACCAAAATGTTAAAAAAAGTTAACATTTTTAAAAGATGTACAGAAAATATATTTTGACCTCAAAGTAGAAAAGAATTACTGTGTAAAACGCAAGAAGAATCTAATGGAGGCTAAACTTTCTGTTTGACTGTACTGGGAATTGAACTCAGAGCTTCACACATGCTTGGCATGTACTCTATCACTGGGAGACATAAAGGAAAAGATGAATAATTTTTTTATATTCTTTAATAGGACTGTATTTGAATAAGAATTTCATACAAATAGAATATATGCCTTAACACAAGAAAGCAAGGAAGGAATATTTTATGTTACACAGAACAGACATTCAGTTTGTTCAATCAAGGTAAGTTGCCTCTCCGCTTCTTATTCTATGTATTACAAACGTGGCAGTCAGTTTGGTGGAGGCCGACAGTCATACAGCCTGTCCAGTTAGTAGTGTGAAGTACATGTGACTGTTGTTGCCGCAGGGGTTGTGCTAATGCAGTCTTCATTGCAGAGACGTGATAGAATTTACTGTTTACTCTGTGTGTGTGTGTGTGTGTGTGTGTGTGTTCGGTGTTTCCACTAACCATTCCATGGCCTCATCAAGACCAGTGCCTTTGGTTGCAGAAGTTTTGAATATTTGCCATTTTCGGTCCTTCAAAGCAGGTAACCCAAGCGAATCTGCCATCTCTGAGGGAGTCATGGCCTGTTCCATGTCTTGCTTATTTGCAAACACCACTAAAATAGCTTCCCTTAGCTCTTCCTCCTCCAACACGGCAACCAACTCTGACTTGGAAATGCCAACTCGGTCTCGGTCACAACTGTCTACTACATATATGATAGCATCTGTGTTAGAATAGTAACATCTCCAGTAAGGCCTGATACTTGTCTGTCCTCCTAAATCCCATACTTGGAATTTAAGATTTTTATATGTTACCGTCTCAACATTGAATCCAATGGTCGGAATTGTAGTAACGACTTCTCCAACCTGCAATCTGTACAAAATTGTAGTTTTTCCTGCTCCATCTAATCCCAAAATTAAGATTCTCGTTTCCTGGGTTCCAAACAGACTAGAAAAAATACTGGAGAAAAAGCCCCCACTGACGGCGGTCCCCATCGACGGTCACGCCGGGCCCGGTGTGTTCTGCCCCGGCGCCGCCGCCTCCGCTCACCGTGGGATCCGGCTCGGGCGCGGTTTCCCGGGCCGGCCGGCCGCTCAGCCAGCAACTTCCACGTCAGACTCCCGGCGGGCGAAAAGATGAATAATTTTTATTATAGTGAAATTTAAACTTCTGTATAAATTGATAACAATACATAAAAATTGAAAGGCCTAAAGATAGGGAGAAGATACTGTCACACACACATATGTACATGTACGTGTGTGAGACAGTATCTTCTCCATAAATGTACATGTACATATGTGTGTGTGTGTGTGTGTGTGTGTGTGTGTGTGTGTGTGGCTCAAAGACATGAGACCCATTAGTAAGCTGAGACAAATAAATGGGTAGAGATTATAAACAGAATAGGAAAGTCAGCTTATTTATCAGCATATAAAGAAGGTCCTCACACTTTCCTTTAACATAGTAATATTTGAAATAAGTAGCACACAATCTTACACATTGTATTCAAATAACTACTATCCTAATGAATAAGAAGAATAAACTCAAATATCAAGCTCTGGGAACAGAGACAGAGGAAATGATTTCAATAGTAACTGTAAAATTCTATTACTTTATCAGTAAGAGACATTTGTAGCTTGTTAATTTATGATAAATCTAGATATTAAGTGCATGGATATTTGTATTACTGTTTTCTACATTCTTTTGTCTACTTAAAACCTTCAGTAATATTTTGAAAACTAAGAAAAAGAAATCCCAGTGTGATTACAGATAAGAGTGATCACCATATTGATTTAGTACCTAGTACCTGCTTGACACTCTTAAGCACTCTGTCTGGAACATGTTATTTAACACTTACTATAATGTAAAGATAGTGACCCCAGTTCTCTCAGTCATCACTAGGCTGGGTACAGCAGGTCCCGCTTTGCTACTGGAAGCTTTTGAGAAGTCACAGGCCTCTGTTTCCTGCAGGATTCTGGGGGCTGGAGGTGTTAGCTGGAGCCTAGTGAGACCCAGCCCCAGGCCCTGCCTCTGGGTGGTGGAGAAGGGACCCCTCACTCATGGGAGGAGCACTAGGCAGCTCGGGCTGTGGGGGAGAGGGCCACCATCTAGCCCTTGGCAGGGAAGGCCCACGCCTCCTGGCTGGCCATGGAGAAGAGTGTCTGCACCAGATGTGCGAGGGGCGCTCTGAGCTGAGTGAGAAGGGCCAGGTGCTAGCAAGAGAGTGGGGTGCAGAGCTGCTGCCTCTGTGCCTGGATCATGTCCTCGACAGGGCCTGGGACAAGCAGCGTCCTGGGACAAGCAGGGTGTGTCACCAGGCCTCGCTGGAGAGAGGGGCACTTCTGACAAGAGGTCACTATGAAGACTCAGGAGAGGGGACCAACACTGGTATTCCCTGTCACACGGGATTGAACTCCCTGGAGGTCTCAGGACAGACTTGTTCTTCAGTGAGAGCAACAGGGCATTGTCTGTTTCCAGTTATTTGTGCTGGAAGCTTTGGGCACACCTTCTGCCACACTTGGGAGGTCCCTTCTGGGGGGGCGGGTGGCAGGGGACAGGCAGAGCAGAGCATGGCTGGCGCCATCCTCATCCCATCCGGGCAACCTACTGCAGTGAGAGTTCGGCATTACCTAGTTTCAGCAGGACAAAATCATGATGAAATCGTTGTGAGTCGGTTTGGCTTTTCAGTAGCTTCATAGAAAACTCTCTCAGGATGGAAGAAACAAGTTTGACCTAGGGGGTTCACCCCACCCAGTCCTGAACAAGGTTCCTTTGTTTTTACTTTATTGATTCTAATAATGGATAAGGGCTGGAGCGATAGCACAGCTGGTAGGGTGTATGCCTTGCCCACAGCCGACCCGGGTTTGATTCCTCCCTCCCTCTGGAGAGCCTGGCAAGCTACCAAGAGTATCCCTCCTGCATGGCAGAGACTGGCAAGCTCCCCATGGCGAATTCGATATGCCAAACACAGTAACAAGTCTCACAATGGAGACGTTATTGGTGCCCACTCGAGCAAATCGATGAACAACGAGAGGACAGTGCTATAATGTAAAGATATACAGTGAGTTTGTCTCACAGGTGAAATAATTGATACCAAAGGTCTTGTCCAAATTATTAGTTGAGTGCCAGTTAATCAAGATCAGAGTAATTCCAACTATGAAAAGAAGTAGGAAAACTTGCTCTACACAAGAAGAATATAAAGATATATAAGGATATATAGCATACCATAGGTCCCAGAGCACTGCCAGGAGTAATTCTTGAGTGCAGAGCCAGGAGTAACCCCCAGGCATTTCTAGGTATAGTCCAAAAACCAGAAAAGAAAAATGACTGACTTTCTGTCAAAGGTCCAACAATAGAGACAGGATCAGTTTTTTCCCCATACCATAGTGTGGAGAGATGGGGAGAAATGAATAGGTGGAACACATAGATCTTTGTATTTATTAATTTCAGTGCAGTACAACTTTTTTGTATGCTACTATAATGGTGGTTAAGTTTATCAATTGTACAAACACTGATTTGATTTGGTTTGATTTTGCTTTGGGGAAGTGGCCACATCTGGCAGCCCTAGGGACTTACTTTTGACTCTGCACTCAGGGATTATTCCTGGTGGACGGTAGTGCCAGGGATCAAACCCTGGTCCGCCGAGTGCAAATCAAGCTCCCTACCCACCGTACTATTGTTTTGGCCCCAAATTTTTTGTTTTATGCAAGATAGTACAGAGGTTAAAGCATTTGCCGTGCATATGACTGTGGCCACGACAGTTGTTCAAATTCCTGTGTCATATAGTTTCTCAGCACCACCAAGTGTGTCCCCTGAGTTGTATATCATATATATAAAAAATATAAAGTGAATTGTAGGTGGACTAAATGTTTTTTGTTTTTTTTTAATTTATTGAATCACTGTGGGAAAGGTTACAAAGCTTTCAGGTTTATGTCTCAGTCATGTAAATATCAAACACATTTCCCTTTACCAATACTTATTTTTTACCATGAAGAACCCCAATAAAACCCCACCCCCCACCCCTCCCCGTCCCTGTGAGGCAGATGAATTCTAGTTAACACTCTATCTGCTTTGATTAGATTCATTGTTTCAATAAAAGATTCACCACTATTATTTAGAGTTTACCCCCCCCCCCCCAAATCAGACATGCTGAAAAAGCATTGTGAAGTGATTTGCTTTCTACAGCTGGGTTCAAGAATTAAATGTTGGTTTTGGATTTCTGCTCTTTTACCTATTGACCCTGGAAGTATTTCTACTGAAAGTCAGATAGTTAAGAAATTGGTTTCTGTGTTCTGGAGTCCTGGCCATGCTGGAGAGCCGCTCGCGGGGGGTGACTGGTGACTTCGGTAGGGCGTGAAGGACGGACCGGAACGCCCCCCTTCCCATGAGGTTTTAGTCGCCCCCACACTCCCGGCTCATACCTGCTGTCCACAAGGCTCCCATGCGGCCACCATCTTTCTTTCCAGAGAGGAGAGGGCGAATGGGGCAACACCCTTTCCCCTCCGGCAGACTTGATGGCCTGGATTAACGCATAGTCCGTTCACTTTTCTGCTCCAAGCTGCTGGGTTCTGCATTAAGTCCTTGTGCTTCTGGGGCCGTGGCTGTGCTGGGGAGCCGCTCGTGGGGGGCAACTGGTGACCTCGGTAGGGCGTGAAGGACGGACCAGAACGCCCCTCTTCCCATGAGGTTTTAGTCGCCCCCACACTCCCGGCTCATACCTGCTGTCCACAAGGCTCCCATGTGGCCGCCATCTTTCTTTCCAGAGGGAGGAGGGCGGAAGGGAGCAACACCCTTTCCCCTCTGGGCAGAAATGATTGCCTGGATTAACGCATAGTCCTTTCACTTTTCTGCTCCAAGCTGCCGGGTTCTGCATTAAGTCCTTGTGCTTCTGGGACTGTGGCCGTGCTGGGGAGCCGCTCGTGGGGGGCAACTGTTGACCTCGGTAGGGCGTGAAGGACAGACCGGAATGCCCCCCTTCTCGTGAAGTTTTAGTCGCCCCCCCACACCCCCGGCTCATACCTGCTGTCCACAAGGCTCCCATGTGGCCGCCATCCTTCTTTCCAGAGAAGAGAGGGCGAATGGGGCAACACCCTTTCCCCTCTGGGCAGAAATGATGGCCTGGGTTAACTCATCGTCCGTTCACTTTTCTGCTCTAAGCTGCTGGTTTCTGCATTAAGTCCTTGTGTTTCTGGGGCTGTGGCCATGCTCCAAACTTAACTCTGATTTTCAGGGAGAAAGATTGGGTGGTTTACTTCTCATTGATCACTTTGTATATAGAGAGATGTCGCGCGGCCGCGTAAGCGGCCGCGAGGTTTTGAGAAAAAGTCCTCGTTACCGCATACTCGAGCTGTGTTTGTAGAGGCTTCTGGTCACCAGGGTTCCATCTGGGGGAGGCGAGATGCGGCGCCTACTCCATCTGGAACTTGCCGGTGCTCTCGGCTCTTTTTGGAACCTGTTTTTTCTTTTTTCTTTTCCTCCGGGATCCCGCACCCTCCATGTGTTCCTTCTCTTCTGGACTAAATGTTTTAATTTGAAAGAAAATACTAGAAAATTTTAGGGAAAATACTTTAGGAAGAGATCTTTCTAAACAAGGTAGAAAAATATAGAAATTCAAAGAGTTGATGATATATGTATGTATTTTTTCAGTACTGGGGGTAAAACCCAGCACCTCACACCTGCAGGGCAGTATTCTACCACTGAGCTGATATGTCTTGATGATTGACATAATTACATAAAAAATGAAATATGGAAAAATGATCAATAAATAAGAATAACACAAAAGATAGTCTGGGCCACGTTTTATCACATGTAAAAGAAAATTATTTTATACACAATATTGTGTGACAATCATGTAGGAATTATGTACTGTTCTACATAATTGATTTTTTTTACTAACTCATTTAATATCCAAAATGTTCCCACAAAATATTCAGAAGTCATCAGATCTTCACATGATAGTATCCAAAGCATGAAGAAACAATGCCCTATTGTGAACTCTTTAATAGTGTGAACCCCTT